TGGTGGATGTGATGCCTCTAGGGGCACCTGAAGTCTTCACAGACTGAGGTCCCCTTTGGTACTCTCAACTCCTTCCAGCAAGGGAAGGCTAAAAAGGTATAGAAGTGAGCTACATCTTAGGGAGTAAAAATAAGGGGTTATTTGTTACATGATGACAGCCATGTAACCCTGCACCAGACCCAATTAAATGCCTAGTATGTGAGATGGGTGGCCATGTATCACTTCTACCAAGTGTTCAGTTAATAAATTTGCAGCTTGTCCCTTAAAAATTTCTCCAATGTCTACTTTTCATTCACTCACATGTCCTTAGCAATAAATAAATGATAGAAGGGTATCAGTATCTAAGGACAGACACAAAACTATGGAAGGCCTAATTAGACAGTAGCCTGAGGCTTTGATGATTGTATTGCTGTATTTTGCTTACGGATTTGCAATGTGTGCTTGTGAAGTAAGTGGGCCTATCAAGTGATTCATATATAACATGCATTCTGTACTTTATTTTTTGAAACTTTCACAGATTTTCATGTTTGTTCCATGAAAAAAGAGTATGTGCTTCAGGTTTGAAAAAAAAAAAAACACAACTTGGTTAGTCCCACAGAAGAGACAATAAGCTGCACTCTGTGCCTTCTTGTATATCACCAACAAAATTGCTTACTAAATCCAAAATCCAGTGCCTATCATTTCAACCTGTTTCAAGTTGAAGGCCCAATTTAAGATAATGGCTGCGTACTGAAAGACATTAAATATGAAACTCCACAAGCCCATATTAAAAAATCACTTCTAAGAGACAAAGGGAAAACCATGTTGGTACCTTGAAATAAGAGATATATAACATATGGAGAAACAAGCTTACAGACGAGATCTATAGAGTAAGCCAAATGCAGAAAGCTGCTCTGCATAAACAAGGACTTTTAGGGCATGTCTACACATCAGGGCTGAAGAGGAAATAAGCTACGCAACTTGAGCTACATCAATTGCATAGCTTAAGCCAAAATAGTTTATTTTGGCTTTTTGCACTGTCTACACAGCAGGAAGTCCGAAAAGGAGCACTCTTCCTACGACTGCCCTTACTCCTCGTAAAATGAGAGTTATGGGAGTCAAAGTAAGAAGTCCTCCAGCTCAACATTATTTTGACATTATGTCAAAATAACTGCTTGTAGTATAGAGGCTGTGTAGACATACCCTTACAGATGGGATCATACAAGGGCTTCTTCTGTTCTTTAAAACTGTAGGTCAGGTACAAAGAATAGTAATACAAATACAGAGAATTGGCTAGGCTAAGAAAGTACAGGAAACTCGGTATTGAAGAGAGATGACTTGATCATTGACAACCCAAATGTGAGAACATTCAATAAAATCTAGTAGTTCATTAAGAATCTAATTTTATGTGCGACTGTTGGATTTAAGATAAGAATGATAATAGTTTGATGTTATTATAGCTGTAATTCGTTTTACATTTTCCACATTTTGTACTTGTACATTACAAGTACAAAATTTGTTCTTTATGGAAAAAATAATTGAATAGTGGTACTATAATAAATGGACATTATCTGCAGCCAGATAGCCTCAGACTGTGATCTCAAAACAACACAAGTTGTGGTTAGCTATTGGATGATGTAAAAGAGCTGAAGGAAGGGATGCAGTGTTGGTGATTCAATAGGTGGCACTCTTCATTCTGAGTACTGAACCAATACTGAACCACTGTCTCATGGTTCTGTTATCCATCTATCTGAATGCATCACAGTGGTAGCTGAACACAGTATTTATGCTCAAGGTGGTGTTTTTAAATTAGATGCAAGCCTGAAGTTTTTGACCATTAATAGATATTAAAATCCTATGGCACATTTTGCAAGAATAGGAGTGCTGGCCTTGTGTTATAGTCTAATTTCAACTCAGAGATTGTTCCACCTAAAATTCCCCCATACTTAAAGTTGGATACAGTATTCTCAGCCTTTTGTCATAAACTCTTATGCAGTGCTGTATACTGTGCATCCTTTTTGCCACATACCTGCTGTGATTGCATCTCTGTTTTGAGTGAAATTATTCATACATGTAAAGGCAGATTCTAACGATTCTTCCATGGGTGTGAAAGAGTGCAGGGAAGGGAGAGAACATGAAGACCAGTCCCTGTGCACAAGGCATGATGTTCTACAACTTGAAAAGGGTGGTACTCACCCCACCAGCTCAGCTGATAGGGATACACTGCATCTCTTATAGCAGTGGCTTCTCCTCAATACACTTGCCCTACTAACAGTCTCTGCCCCTGTACTCTCTCTCAAGCACTTTTGGCTTTAAAATCCCCAGTCTAGCTCATAGTTTAGTTGTCACCAGCTGATCAATCTTGTTCTACTTGTCAATCATGGAGACTCTCCCAGTTGATAGTTGATGGTGATCTCTTGCAGTGCAGAAGGACTGCTGCTCAGGCAAGCTCCTTCCCTGACCCAGCACCACACTATTCCTGGAAGAAGCCAGCACACAGCCTTGGGGTGGGAGGGGAAGAAGAAGGGAAGGATCTCTGATATCTGCTTCTGCCTGCAAGCACTGCTCCTGCAGCTCCCATTGGCCAGGAATGAGGAACTGTGGCCAATGGCAGCTGTATGGCTACGGCAGGCTAGGAGCCTGCCTTAGTCCTGCTGTGTCGCCAACAGGGAGTCACCTGAAGTAAGTACCAGGAGCCTGAATCCCACCCCACCTCTCAGATCTAGCACCCCATACCTTCTCCTGAACCCCAAGCTCCTGCCCCAGCCTTGAGCCCCTTCCAGAGTCAGCACCATATACCAGCTCTTGACCCCAACACTCTGCCCCAACCCAGAGCATCCCAACTCCCTCCCAGAGCCTGCAACCTGTACCCCAAGCCTCTGTCCAAGCGCAGAACCCCCTGCTTCAGCCAAACTCCCTCTCAGAACCTGCACCTCCTCCCCAACCCTCTGCCCCAGCCCACTGAAAATGACTGAGGGTCAGGGAGAGTGAGCAACAGAGAGCGGAGATGGATTGGGGTGAGACATTAGGGAAGGGATAGAGTCTAGGGGAAGGGATCCTGGGTTGCCCTTAAATTCCAAAAGTAATCTTGGGCACAAAAAGGTTGGGGACCACTGCCCCATAGTCTGTAACATTTATAGAGCACCTCTGAATTCTCCTGAATGAAAGGATCATTCTCTCTATATATATATATATTTAGCTCATCTCTCTATTTAAAATATTCGAGGTGTCTTACAAAAATGTTAACACACAATATAAATATATATAAAAAGTAAAATACAAACCCAAGAAGGGCATAAAACCAGATAAGACACCTCCAAAGGAGAGAGAGACACACACAACTCAAACATCAATAAAAGCATGGGTAAAAAGGGTCACTTTAGCCTGGAGTAGAATCAGTGCAAGCACTGGCACCAGGTGAATGTCCCAGAATTCCATAGCCTGGGAGTAAAGGCTGAGAAGGCCCTGCTCTGTGTGGCTGTCAGTCTTATCTCCATAAATAGAGGAACACAGAGCAGAGCCTCCCCAGCTGACTTCAATCCCGAGCAGGTTTGTATGAGAGAAGACAGTCCTTC